TGTTTTATTGATCTTCTACTTGCACAAATTTTGGGACCCATTTTCTCATTTTACCTCCCAGTGATCATAATGCTCTGTATCTACCTGAAGATTTTCCTTGTGGCAGAGAGACAGGCACGCAGCATCAGGAACACAACATGTCAGAGCACAAAATGTGGAGCAACTGTAGGTAAACATGAGAGAAAGGCCACCAAAACTCTTGCAACAGTTATGGGAGTTTTTCTGATGTGCTGGACTCCTTTCTTTCTCTGTTTTACTTTTCAGCTTTTGGATAATGTGTCAGTGCCACTTCCTCTGTTTGAAACTCTTAACTGGCTTGCACTGTCAAATTCAATGCTCAATCCATTTATTTATGCTTTCTTTTACAGCTGGTTCAGGTCAGCTTTCAGAATGATCATTTCTGGGAAAATATTTCAAGGTGATTTTGCAGATACAAAACTGCTTTGACATATTCTGTGGAGTGCTGAAATGGCCAACATACAAGTCAGTACTGATGAAATTTGTCACAATAATTATTAAATATGTGTCATTAGACTCTGCAACCTGTGACTCAGCATATTTTTTTCTTTGTTTAATCATGCAGTAACAATTAAATATTAAGGTGTAATACTGACTGAGGTACAGAGGTGCATTATAGTGAGATGTCAGTTTATGCAACCATGTAAACGGCTTAAAGACACTATGTTTACATCTACATGTATAGACTATCTGAGTGTGCTTGTTCCAACACTTACTTAATTACTTTATGAACTGAGTTATTAATTTGGAACTCTGATTAATAAAAAAAATAAAATAAAATATATATATATATATAACCAAAATTACCACATAAATAGTACAGGTTGTACAATTTTTGAATTTTTGACATTGAGAAGAGGTTGGTGGAATCAGTCACTCTTGTGTAACATTAAATAGGCGGCTTGTATTTTCAAAAAGTTTTTATTCATAATATAATAACACAAAACATGATCTCATGTGTGTGAGTGAGTTAGGCTGGTTCCCGCCCACTCAACTGAGTAGGCTTGCATCTCTGGTCTGGCATACTTCAATGAATTTGCGATTTATCTCGTCCAAATGATGGAGGGACCAATGAACGCCAGGGGTCTAGCGATTAGCCAATCAGCGCCACGCTGATGTCAAGCTGTACGCCGGTGGGTAACTGGTGAGGATAGCAACAATGGCGACCGCTACAGATCCTACAGACCACATTAACGATGCTATCGAGGTATTTTGCCACTACTCGCGTTAATGGAGGACCATATTAAGGAAGCTGCTAAACTGGATTTAACGGCGATGTAGCTGGGCGTGTGCGACGACGGAGACATTTTAAATGGGCAATGCTCGCTTATTTTCGGCACCCCCGAGGCATGGATACTAATGACGTCAGATTCTGGGTGAGTCGTTGATCTCTACTGATTGGTTAGGGAAAAAATCAAATTCCCTCCCCCTTGTAAAGCGCCTTCAATGGAGGCCATGTCAGACTGAAGGTTCTGGGAGCTTCAATCTGACGCTCAGGCTATGAGTGAGTGAGTGAATGAGTGAGTGAGTGTGTGTGTGTGTGTGTGTGTGTGTGTGTGTACATGATTTGTGTAGGATAGCGGCGTCAGGATAGACACGGGGGATAGTTAATTTGTGTGCAAGATCTTGTGTTTGTGAAACATGAACTAACTTCGACTGGTGGTGAAGGCACAAATGTTGATGTCACCCTGTAAGCCTCACTACAAAAAGATCACAACAATAAAACTCAACTCAGTGAAGAGTGTTCAGCTACTACTCAATCCTATTACATGTACACTGAAAAAGTTAAACAGTCTTGTTTTGCTTTGTGGATTTCAGTTAACGTTATCAAGGCCCACTTATTTTGTTACCAGTCAATGAATGGAAGAGGAAAAGGGGTGTCCAAGAACTTAGGGGGTTTGTTCAGGTTGAAAGTTAAACAATTAAATGCTTTCTGTCTTCCGCCCCATGAGGGGGGACAGGGAGTAGAGCTTAGAGTCTCTGCCCGAGCCCGAGCCCGGCCCAATGGCATGTTTGGGATTGAATGAGGTGTGGGGTGCGAGTGTGACGGGGATGAGGAGGGCTGTGTGAGTGCGCGTGCTGGTGTGTGTATGAGCAAGCTGGAGGAGAGAGCAGCAGTGCACAGATGGAGTTACAGCTAAGTTCTTGTTTTGTTGGTTGTTTTGGTGTGGTTACGGCCAACAGTAACCTGTACTGTTTAGTAATAAACGGTGGTTTAATTGCTGAATAACTGCGTCATCCTTTCCACACGTCCAATGTTGCAACATTGTGCGCGCACAGCCCTTCACCACCTGGATCCTAAAATAAACACCTGTTTTATTACATAATCATGCTTCGTGTTGCGCCATTCATTAAGAGCCTATATTTCTGTCATTCAAATAACAAGAATTGTGGTTTAATACTCTTAATTATAACAGCCAACTTATTGAAAAATGTCGGGTTTAAATCGGGCTCGGGCCCATAATTACAGTTAATTGGGCAGGCTGGGACGTCCCGGACATAACGTGCACGGGCTGGGGCCGGGTCGGGCTGGATTTTTTGGGCCCGATCTAAGCTCTAACAGGGAGGCAAAATTGCATCTGCTCTGCCCAGTTCGTGGGGAACCAGAAAGTATGCGGAGTTTAACCCCTTTGTCATGAGTGGGCATAACATGTCCAGGATCACTGCTGAGAGGTAATCAATCTCGTCCTGGAAGGATAGGTTCACCTCCTTGATGCCCATGAAAGGAAAATGGAACATGGTAGAACTGGATAGAATACCCTAGTCACAGTCCATCCATTCTGTTAATGTGCAGTCATCGACATGCCCCATAAAACTTAGTCAGGGGACAAGCAACCAGCTGTAGGGTGGCAGCTAAAAAGCTCTGCTAACCTGTCTCCGACCCTAACTGCTGCCAGACCCTCCATAAACAGAAGGCTGGCTCTAAGCATGCTGATTTGGAAAGGGCCTAGCCAGTGGTGAGATTAGATTGGGTTTGATTAGATTAGATTAGATTAGATGCCCCTCATTGTCCTTGTGGGAAATTCATTCTGCTCAGGTCAACACAACACAAAACCCCACTCATTTTTATTAATGGAGCAGCATATCTCCTGCCAGAGGGAAGTATCTGAAAGCAGGATTTTGTTTTTCATCCTGACAATGTGATGTCATTTTGTGGTGGAAAGGTACAGAAGAGGAGTTGTTGGATCTTGTTGGATCATAGATTTCTTAACACTACTAACCCTAATGTCAAATTTTCCCTTGAGTACAGTAAAAGCCGTATAAACTTTCTTGATATTACTATTAGTAAGGATGATACTGGCTGTCTTCCCACTTCCATTTTCAGGAGGGATATCCATAAGAACTCGATATTACATGCCAGCAGCTTTCATTCCAGTTCTTTGATCAACTCCATACCATTTGGTCAATTTCAAAGATTCCGTAGCATCTGTGACAATGATGCAGATTTTCAATGTAAGAGCAGAGAGATGTTCAGCCGCTTCAGAGAACAGGGTTTCTCTCCCAGGGTATTACTGTAGATACAGCCCTTTCTAAGGCTAGCTCTCTAGATCGAGAAGATCTCTTTACTAGGAAACCTAAAGATCTTAAAACAGACAAAGTCTACTTCTTTACCCGCTATAGGACTGAGGCACTGGGTATACGTAAAATAACACAAAGCAACTGGGATCTTATTCTGTGTGATGACACCTTACGTTCTGTTTTCCCAGACCCCCCTTTGTTTACGTTCCAGAGAGCACCTACCCTGGGAGATAGATTTACCCGAAGCTACCTTCCTGCTGTGAAGGAACCACATACATGGCTGCCCAAGATGCCCCTTGGCACCTTCCCATGTGGTCACTGTAAGCAGTGCGATACAGGTGTAGTGGTTAAATCTAGAGGTTTTACACATCTTATCTCTAAGAAGGTTTTCACAAATAACCACTTTATTAATTGTAAAACCACTCACATTATATATATTCTTCGTTGTTCCTTTTGCGATGCCTTCAATGTGGGTCGTACTAAATGGCGTTTGCAAGATCGGGTAGCTGAACATCTCTATGCAGGCCGAAGGAATGATCTTGATTATGCTATAGTGAAACTCTTCCACGAGATGCATAAAGGCAGATCTCTGTCTTTTACAGCTTTTGGCATTGATCACATCCCTTTAACAGCCCACAGAGGGGATACAGAGAAAGTCCTCAACCAAAAGGAGAGTCGTTGGATTTCCACACTTGGGGCTTTGACATCCCCAGGCTTGAATGATTCAG